GACGAGACCGATCCAAATTCGATATTCTGCGTATAATATTGTGTTATTGTTAAGCACCCCAAAAGGCACAAAAATATTATTAAGCACCATAAAGTTTCTGTGCACTATAGTCCAAGTCTTCTGAAGCCATTCCATAGTTTAATGTGAGGTACAGATGAATATTTACAGATGTCTGTCATCCTCCATTCAGTATTAAAACTGCGTGTCGCCTTTGGTTATGACAGTCAAGACAATGAAACTCTCTCCAAGATGATTTAATGTTCCTATTATTATACTTGATCTGTAGATAAAGAGCAATGGTTTTGCATAAAAGGACTTTATCTTGCTGGAGTTTAGTGCTGTTTCTAAATCCTGTTACTTTCTACCGGCTGTCTGTTAGATCACAACACTGGAGTAGAGAGCACTATGAATTATTCTTCACGCGCACAGTAACTGAAATTTCAATCTGCTGTGATATATAATACACTACGCATCAATATCTCTTCTCTTTGTGCAATATTTTACCAGATTTAGTCCTACACTTATTCACTTTTTTTTGTTCCCCACTAAATAATGTTTTTTCACTAAATGTTTAGATTTTATAAAATTGTGCACTCATGGTTTTTCTAGAGTCACTTTTGCTGCTGAAATATCCACTAACCTAGTTTATAATATTAGTTTTGTTATAGATTGATTATATTTTAGAATGTTATTTTTCTGTATAATGAAGTTGTCTATATTTAGTAGATTGTTAGATAAAGAGCAATGGTTTTGCATAAAAGGACTTTATCTTGCTGGAGTTTAGTGCCGTTTCTAAATCCTGTTACTTTCTACCGGCTGTCTGTTAGATCACAACACTGGAGTAGAGAGCACTATGAATTATTCTTCACGCGCACAGTAACTGAAATTTAAATCTGCTGTGATATATAATATACTACGCATCAATATCTCTTCTCTTTGTGCAATATTTTACCAGATTTAGTCCTACACTTATTCACTTTTTTTTGTTCCCCACTAAATAATGTTTTTTCACTAAATGTTTAGATTTTATAAAATTGTGCACTCATGGTTTTTCTAGAGTCACTTTTGCTGCTGAAATATCCACTAACCTAGTTTATAATAGTAGTTTTGTTATAGATTGATTATATTTTAGAATGTTATTTTTCTGTATAATGTTGTCGTCTATATTTAGTAGATTGTGTTTAACACAAAAGAGTGATGATCAGGTCAACACACAGAGGTATAGAAATTCTTCACTGATTTAAAAAAATAAATAAATAAAACTGCGCTAGTATCAGATCTGTGTCGGCTGATACTCAGAATTTTTGGTATCGGATCGGCTCTGAAAAAATGGTTTCGGTGCATCCCTACTAATATATAGCACTCAGGTCTGAATGTAGATCGATTGGATAATTATTATCTAATTGAATATCCTATAATCCTAAAATACTGTGCCAATGAAGTTTCATGTTGACTTTAAAGACAAACTTGAGAAACTTCACAACAAGTAGAATTTCTAAGTACAGTTTAATTCACATGCTGTGTTTTGCTGCCTGATCGAGTGACATATGAACACTTTACAGTCATTCACACCAAATAAAATGTCGAAAATAAAAGTAACTTTTTGGATTTTGCAGCTGCACTTGAAGTCTGCAACATTCTCTTGCAAAGACGCTCCCTCAAATTGCTTTTTTAAATGAAATATATTTCTCAAGTACTTGTTGAAGGAATGTGGGTGAAGGTGAAAGGAAAACCTGTTGGAAGACCTGACCACAAACGGGTTTCCACAGAGCACGCAGCGGAAAATATGAGAGCTCGTAGTTGAAGATAACATTAAATCTTGAATAGACCTGAAAGAGTAGTTAAGAGTAGTTCTTGGGGATGAACAAAATGCTCCCCAAAAATTTCTTGCAGGTTGTCCAAAGTTTAAAAACTCGCTAACTTCGGTATCCACAACATAAAGGCGATGCTTGAAGAAAATGATGGACCAAAGTCAGTCAGTCAACATAGTGGACACTGGACATCATGGTTCAAGGGGGTCATCAAATATTTTCTCTACAATAAAGCATTGAATTGACCAAACCTTATTTTCCACTACAACGCACATCTGAAAGGAATCGTCATGCAGTTTCTCGGGCCGCTTGTTATTGTGCATCTTTTCGTCACAGCAGCAGGACGGTAAGAGCTCACAGATGCTGTAGTCTTTGTGGGCCACTTCGGCATTCTGGTGACATTTTGGTAAGTTGCAATGCTTTATCATCATACCCTGAGTTTCCAAAGCTGCTCAACACCTTACCAGGCGATTGCTGCTGGTCATTCCACCTAAATGATTTTTCACAAGACTCTACCTCAAGAATATCAACTGTCTGAAAGAGCCAACAATGGAGAGTGAAAACGTGAAATTTGGATTATAATTTTTAATCAGATTACAAGATATTATATACTATACTCTTAAAAATTAGATAGAGACAGGAAGTGTGCAACATAATAGGAAAGCTTTGACAGCATTTCTTATAACAAATTTCAAAGGGTGAGTTCAACTGTTTTAAAACTTAATATTAAAATTAGGGCTGGGCAAAAAAAAATAGATTTTTCGATTAATCGTTTTTTTTAAATGATGTCGATTCGATATCGATTCTCAAAAGCCGCGAATCTATCTTTTCCGGGATTTATTTCAGCACATTTAAAACAAGATCTGATTAACGTGAATCTAATCATTAGTCTTCTCCAATAGATGTCACCCTTATTTACCTTGCGCGATGTTACAACAGAAAGCCATACGCGTGATTCGCAATGCTCAGGTGAAGTGCTATAGTAATACTATAAATCTGCGGAAGCATCTGATATCACGCATAGGCACCATGATTTCCGCTATGAATGAATGGCGCGGCGCACTGTTTTGTTTACTACACACATACTAAAGCGCGGATGACGCTTGCGGTGGTTTTCTTTTTAATTTTAACAGTAAACCTCTGTTGTGCAGCACTTTGTTTGCCAAAAAATAACAGGGTTTAATTCTCATTTGATTAGGATAAATGAATGTTTTATGCCTTCATCTGATTACCAGAAAAATGAAGAACGTTTTATAGGGCCCTACTATTGTTTAAAAAAAGGATCCTATACAAAAAAAAAAGTATAGGTGTAAAATACAGGCATGTGGTTCTTAATTTCTTTTTATTAACTCACCATTTGTAAATTTGTTTTTAGAAATATCAATAGCATTTGTATTAAAACTATATTCACTGAATGTAATAAAATCGAGAGCTTGCGAATCGAAACATCCGAATCGATACCCAGCCCTAATTAAAATCAATTAAAATAAAATGATCAAATCAGGTCTTTATACAAGTTAAATGCATTTTAGTGTTAGCTGTTAAAAAGTTTGGGATCGGTAAGATTTGTAATGTTTTTAGTCTCTTCTGCTCATCAAGGCTGCGTTTAATTGATCAGAATACAGTAAAATGGTGTAATGATGCTGAAAATTCACAGGAGTTAATTATATATTAAAGTATATCAAAATAGAAAACCATTATTTTAAATTGCAATAATATTATTTCACAATATAATTTTTTTTCTGTATTTTTAGTCAAATAAATGCAGCCTCGAGACTTTAAAACACATTAATCTTACTAAACTTTTGACCAGCGGTGTACATTTCTAATGTTTTAGGTTTCTGACACTCCATTACAAATTGTAATACATTAATACTTGAATATTACACGTTCAAGAAGTAAAGCCTGAAAGACACACCAGTTCCTACTGTCTCGCATTGTTCAAAGACTCAAAACAATTAACTGCTACGATCAAATGTCGTATTTTAATACTCTGTTACACTGTCTATCAGCCTCCACTGTCATATTTACAGTGCTGTTTATTATTCAAAAGGTAGAGACAATGAAAACAGGCAACAAGTGAAAATGGACAAGCATAATATCCTCGTGTTGCCACGTCCGTCGTTTTCCCGCGGAAATGGGCTACTTGTTTTTCACGTCCGCGGGTTGAAGCGACCTCAATAACGTGATATTTAGCCTCTGGACTGCGAATTTTACCAGGGGACCCTAGCCACAAAACGTGTATTTACCCCCCGTAACGCGACTTTTAACAGGGACCTCCTCGAAACACGACTGGGCGGGTTTTGTTGTGAAAACCTGGCAACCCTGGCGCCGCACCAACGCTTCAGCCATTTTGAGACCGTGTCGTCACGCGAAATTAAACCGTGTAAAAGAACGCGCACCTGTTACTGCAAACGAAACGAAAGAGACCGCGTATTCCTGTGAAAAAAATCCACATCGTCCATATTCCGTGGGTTTGAAAGCTGTACGGATCACCGCGCACACTTCTGCTAATGTGGGATTCGAGCAGACGCCATGTTGCTCCGTAAATTCGCTCGCGCGAGGGTTTTGTTTTTTATTTTATTTTTTTCACTCGAGTGCGTTTGTGTTCCAGTTGAACGATTCAAACATTGCGTGCTTACTACCAAAACTACATCTACGGCTTTCAATGATCGAAAAGAACAATCGATGCTTCGACTCACACGGCGGCTAACAAGCTAGCTTACACTTAAAACAACGAATGCCGTTGGAGCGCTACAATTTTCGATTCATGAGAAGAGTTTTGTCAGATCGTGGAAGCGAAGCCTTACCGTTACCATGAGAACCGAGAAACTATCCGGTGATTTTCTTCGTGGCGTCCCGTTTGTGCGAACAATTGCAATGAAAGACCCGCTGCTAAACTCCCGCAACCTTGCGGTGATCCTGTGCGGAACTGCGAGTTGCTTAGAGACAAGTTTTCAAAATAAAAGTACCAGTTCTAAAGTTCCTTTGTAAACAGCGATTGCTGTACAAATAATTGTAAAAAAAAAAAAAAGTCATTGATTTTTGTTTAGACCAACTTGCAAATGCAAAATAAAAATAATACATTTAGAAGTACATGGTATCTTAAAAATTAAAGTATAAATTGTATTAAAACCTATTTTTATTTTTTATTTATCGTTGTTTTACGTTCACAAAATTAGCACAAAAAGTGTTTTATAATGTATTTCCAATACTGGCCTCAATGTGGATATGAAATAAAAATTATTGTTTATTTATAGGTTGTTTTCTTCGTTTTTAGAATATTTGACAGCTTAAATGCCGTATGCTTTTATTTTGACACAGCGGACGCAAAACATCAGGTGACTTGTTGGAGTCACATGAATTTTGGGAATACTTAAACAATTTACTAGCCGGTTAACATTTTGGCTCCCTCGCCTGAAAAGGTAAGACTAATAAAATAACACTGTGAACAATTTTAATCTTTCTTTTGCTGAATAATATCATGCATCAGCTTTCCACAGTCTTTGTCGGATAAACCCTTAATTTCCTGGTTAGTGTTCTGAGTTACATGAGCAGTTATATGGTTGTTCCTTTGGCTTTTGGTGCCCTCTTTGCTTCAGATTGTTATAACGGATGAGTTTTCTGTTCTGTTAGAAGGTTATGTTAGTAACTGTGGTGATTTCCTGTGTTTCAGATGCATCTGGTGCTGCTGGGGGTGCTGCTGGGGGTGCTGGAGGTTTCTGGGGCTCCAGATGCAGATGAGATCAAATATCTTCCTGGACTTTCGAAACAGCCCAGCTTCAAGCATTATTCTGGATACTTCAGTGTGGCAGATAACAAACACCTTCACTACTGGTAAGCTCGACTTTCACTTTAATTTAATTGACCCTAAGAATGGTTTTGAAAATCCCCAAATGTAAATGTCCACCGTCATTGTGCTCTGTTCCTCTTGATCAGGTTTGTGGAGTCTCAGAAAGATCCGGCCGGTAGTCCGGTTGTTCTGTGGCTTAACGGAGGACCAGGATGCAGCTCCTTGGATGGTTTGCTCACAGAGCACGGACCTTTCCTGGTGAGATTTCAGTACACTTCTTTATTTAATCATACCGATGGTTCACAATTAACTTAAGTTAAATATTAAAAAACTTAAATGCTTTAAATAATGTGCATTATCCCTTCTCTCTGGTTATTCACAGATCCAAGATGACGGTGTAACTCTGGAATATAATCCTTATTCTTGGAACAAGGTATGGATTCTGTCTTTTTTTGTTAAAATTACTTAAGCATTACCAGATGAGTTATTTCTGTGGTGTGAAATGAGTCACAGGGCCAGTTTTCCCCCTATAACAGCAGTTTCGGTAACTGGACTATGACACTTCCTTAAGCCAGTCACATGCCCTAATGCTCTTTTATTCTTGGCTATAGCAAACCAGGTTTATTGTACTAACTGTATTTCCAGATTGCAAATGTCTTATACCTGGAGTCACCAGCAGGTGTCGGCTTTTCCTACTCTGATGACAAGAAGTACACTACCAATGACACAGAGGTATGATTTAAATCATATTATATATATGTGTGTGTTACGCCCCGTCTAGGGTAAGGGCACAAGAAAGAGTACGACACGGAAGAGTTGTTTCAGAAGAAAACTAATGAGCAGTATTTTAATGAGCACAATGGTTTTCCAGTGCAACTGGGGAATTTTAGCTTCGGGAGCCGACAAGGCCAAAATAACTAACAAAAACCAGCTAATTCATATACCTCTAACTATCCTCGTTCAGAAAAGAAAAGAAAATACAATTACTTCCCTACCTCCCTATCCAAAAACAATCAATAAAAGGTTCCAACAAAAATGGCGTTGGTCTCCCTACTTCCCCCGAACGTTATGTACAGTTATTTACAAAGGTGAGCAAACCGGGGCAATCCAGAGTCAAGGTCAAAGAACATGCAGTGGTCTGCAACAATCCTAACAAACAACAATCAGTCTCTCACAGACACACTCGAATGAACACACAAAGATACTCTCAGTCTTACTAACACAGTCTGTAACTAACTAGCAGGGCAAACACAGTGAGTGAGCACAAGGCTGATGCCGGAGGCTTTTATAGGCAGCTAGAAGTCAGCTGACCACCAATTAGACTGTAGGAACCAATCGGTCGTCTTCCTGAACAGAGACACTCAAACACCTCCCAAAACAAAAGAAAACACCGAAATAGAACTAAAGGGACATAACTATATATATATATATACTCTCACACACATGCATTTTTAAATATATTTTTTCATTGGACTTTGCTTGACTTGTTGCTTTAAGAAACATTTATACTAGGTACGTATATCATAAGATGCACAAATGCATGTATTGTACAGACAGGAGTGTTTAATTGCGTAGCACACAAAGTATTTAATTGAACTCTATATGATCAAAAAACAAAATGGTAACCATATAATAATAATAATCGCTGACTTTCCAGGTGGCCACAAACAACTACTTGGCCCTGAAAGAATTTTTCAGGTTGTTTCCTGAGTTCAGCAAGAATGAGTTTTTCTTGACTGGCGAGAGCTACGGAGGCATTTACATTCCAACGCTGGCTGAGATCGTCATGGAGGACAGCAGCATTAATTTACAGGTAGGAAGGAGGGACTTTATTTTGACTGTATTACCCATAAACAACACAGACACTGAGCCAGCAGAGGGAATGACCGACGTGTGTGTATTTGTGTCTTTAAGGGTATTGCTGTAGGAAATGGCTTGTCCAGTTATGAACTAAATGACAATTCACTGGTCTATTTTGCATACTATCATGGACTTCTTGGGACTAGGTGTGATATATATTTTTTTACCTCATGACTGTTTTCGTGTTACTCTGTTTAACATGCACTCTTTTATGCATGGGCAAACAGTATAAACTGTAAATGTAAATTGTTAATAAAGTAAATGCACTGTAAAAAAAGAATTTATTTTTGCATTTTATTTGTGTATTTTGCTTTTATGTATTTGTATATGTGTATTCATTTTTTAATATATATATATATATATATATATAGCTTGTGGAATGACCTGCAGAAATTTTGCTGCAAAGATGGAGTGTGTAACTTCTACGATAACCAAGATGTGAACTGCTCGACTTCTGTAAGTTAAACAGTGCTCCACTAATGGCTTAAGATGTCATGTCACATATTCTTTACTTATCTTTTCTTATCTTTCTGTCACTCTTTAGCTCACTACAGTTCAAATTATAGTCTACCAGTCTGGACTCAACATGTATAACCTGTATGCACCCTGTGCCGGAGGTGTTCAGCAGAGAGTCAGGTGAGCTTGGATCAGTTATGTGGAGTAACTGTTCAATGTCATTTCATATGAAGACGTTTCAGTGTCATTTTGTTCTGTGTTCTGAAACCAGCATTGAAAACGGCCAGTTTGTGATCCGAGACCTGGGCCACCACTTCGTCAACCATCCATGGTCCAAAGCACAGAACGAGGTAGAGAAACCAATTTATGTGCTGCTTTCGGACTACAAACTTCACTCGGAACGAAAACTAAAATTGTCACTCGCTCATTACTGCCCTCATATTGTTTCAAACCTGTATGAGTTTGTTGTGCTACACAAAATTATGTTTTTAGCTATTCTGATGCTCATTTCCATACAATGAAAGTAATATTTTAGATTTTAATACACTGAATATATTCCCATTCACGACAGCTCTCTTATTTTATTTGCATATTGAAATGATGACTTGTTAAACCCACACCACTGGTTCTTGCGTGTCTCGTAAAAACAAAACTCCAGTTTGAATATGCAAAAGTGTGTATGTGAATTTAAGAACATTTTATGGTTTTGAAACGACATGAGTATATACTGCCTAAAATAAAATTTTTGGGTGAATGGTCTGTTTAAAGGGATACTTCACCCAAAACTGAAAATGGTCATTTACTGACACTCGAGCTGTTCCAAAACTAAGTGAGTTTCTTTCGTCTGCTGAATACAAAGAAGATATTTTGAAGAATGTTGGTAACCAAACAGTTTCTAGTCCCCATTGACCTCCATAGATCTTTTTTCCCATACTGTGGAAGTCAAAGGGGACCATCAGTTGTGTGTTTACCAACATTCTTCAAAATATCTTCTTTTATGTTGCACACGAGAAAGAAACTCGTACAGGTTTGGAACAACTTGAGGCTGAGGAAATGATGACCGAATTTTCATTTTTGGGTGAACTGTTCCTTTAAGAACTATGAAGAACAAAGCTTTGTGTCTGGTCTGTGTTAGTAGGTCTTCTATGATTCATTTGTGCTTTGAGGGTTAATCCACATGAATTTTCTCGTTGAATCAGAAATTGCGAGGTGTGGTCTCCCTGTTCAAATCTTCAAGGCTCGATCCTCCGTGCACCAACTCTACTCCATCCACCCTGTACCTCAACAACAAGCTGGTGAAGTCTGCTCTCCACATCTCGCCCAATGCTTTGGACTGGATCATCTGCAGGTGCGTTGAGTGGATTTTAATAAAGCAAATGAGTTTTGGACCTTCATTTGAAATTGTCCGGTTGTTTGTTGCAGCGCTGAAGTCAATCTGAACTACAAACGCCTGTTCATGGACGTGAAGAAACAGTACCTGAAGCTTCTTGGAGCACTAGTGAGTGATGGCAATTTAAACAGTTATGAATCCAATATTTACCAGCTTTTGTTGATTTCAATCACATCTTTTCAACAGAAATACCGTGTGCTGGTATATAATGGAGATGTTGACATGGCCTGCAACTTCTTGGGAGACGAGTGGTTTGTGGAGTCACTCCAGCAAGAGGTGAGTTGTTTCCCACAGATATTGTGTGTCCTATTTTCTTTTAGTCTTGGTCTGGGGACTCTGGTCTGGTCAGGAAAATAATAGGTTTTTTATTTGATTAGATTTTTTTCCCCCAAGTTAAACAACCTGGTCACCCTGACCCCTAGTCAGTAAGATTGAAACTTATTTTATTTTATTTGATGGAATAAATAATAATAATAATAATAAATAATTATACTTTATTAAATATTAAAGTATTATTGTTAAACATTTTAATGTTTTATGTATTTCATTTAATAATTAAAACATTAACAAATAATAATAATTATTATTATTTCATATTTTATTATATATTTAACTTATTTAATGTATATATTTTATTTCATTATTTTTATCAATAAAATATTTATCAATGGAACTATTATGATTATTTATTTTATAACAATAATATTATTAATACTTAGCATTTTAATATTTTCACACATTCTATTTATTTAATAATAATGTATTATTATTATTATTATTATTGTGTCATATTTTATTATGTTTTACTTATTTAATTTATTTAATTTCATTATCATCATCAGCTTTTTTTTTTTTTTGAGAATGCTCTTGCCATTTTTGTGCAATTATGTATCAGACAGTCCATGCTGTTTGCGGTCTGAGACTACCTTTTTTTCCTGTAGCAGAAGAAACCCTTTCTCTTCACCTTCTCCAACAGGTGCAGGTGCAGCGCAGACCTTGGATTTATTTCAATGGTGAAACTCAGCAGGTCGGCGGCTTTGTCAAAGAATTTACCAACATCGCTTTCCTCACAGTGAAGGTAAGACTGCAATAAAACCAATCACATAGTGCACTTTCTCTGGTGACTGTGATGAAAAGCTAAATTACATGGACCGCAGCTTACTATAGTTTACAATGGAAGTGTGTGTAAATCTCAATTCTAAATCTCTAGTTTTACTGTAGTATATGCATCTGTGACCTCCGTCTAATATGTGAGCTTTTTTTTCTCGAAGTAAACTTTTTATTTTTGTAATTTATATTTATCTATGTCCTCCACAGGGTTCGGGTCACATGGTTCCCACTGACAAACCCATAGCGGCCTTCACAATGTTCAGTCGCTTCATCACCAAACAACCTTACTAGAACCCACTCAGGGATTTTTAATCTTTTTAAATCTGAATTTGCACTGTCACACTGGTCAAATGTTTCAGATTTATGGACCACTGACTGTTTTCTGTCACTTAGCCACTCAAAACTGATTGTGTATTTCTGTAGTTTAGTTGCCAGCCTGTGAACTAGATTAAGTCATGCATCCTGTACATAATGATGTTTCATCGTATGTGTTTTGAGGGATTCACAGACGTCTATTCCTCCATCCATCTTTGATTATGGTTGATTTAGTAGCGAGAGATGCTGAGTGTTTACGAGTTGAAATCCAATCAGCTGTGAGTGGATGCTGACTGTTTATTGCACAATTTTAGCTTATGTCTTCTCTATTAAACATGAAACTGTAGCTTTTATTAATCATCACAGATATTTTGTCATCCCTTCAGGTACTGATGCCTCACTGTGCTAATTGTAGACTTTTGTTGAGGTGTCATTGAGTTGCTCGTTTGATTGTGGTTTTAAGTGATGTGTATATGATCTTTGGTACTTTTTGTGCTCATAAGGGAATAATTTTTGTGCCTTTTATTCCCCCCCAGTTTTTTTAATTAAAGAAATATTCTACAATTTTAAGTTTTTCTTTGTGATCTTATTTTAGAAAATGGTGTATTTAAACCCACTCAATCATTTCAATGATGCACTGTAAAAAAAATCCGTAAAATGTATGGTAAAAAACCAGCAGCTGTGGTTGCCGGAATTTTACGGTAAGAAAATACGGTAGCAACATTTTAGGTTTTACGGTTTTAACTTAAATTTACAGTTAAATACTGTAATTTCATTAACTGATATAATGTTAATATACCAACCTATTGAAGTACTGAATGTTTTGTACCTTTTGTAATACACTGATGACCACCAAATGCAGGAGGTGATGAGAAAGTCACATGATGAACCAAAGCCCATCACAAGCAGCTTTTAAATATTAACATATATAGAAGGTGCACAGTGTGTCATTCACACAAACACTAAACACCATAACGGTAACACACATGAAACTGAAATAATGCAATAAACATTAATTTAACAACATTAGGTGTAACACACAACTCTAATATACAAAACTGATAAGAAAAAACTAAGAAGAAACATAGTTATTTCAACAAAAAAACATCAAATTTGAAATGTAACGCAGGGAATTCTGGGAATGTCAATTTACGGTTATTCACTGTAAATTATATGAAAAATAATTATATTTTTCATTTCCAAAAATGGTATACTACCATAAAATTACATATAATGTCCAATACAGTTTTTCACCGTATATAGTAGGAGAATTTACCGTTAACAATTTAACAGGTTTTTAATGTAGCATTTTTACAGTCTTTTACTGTTAAATTCACAGTCATTTTTCACAGTGTGAACTAAACTTTTAAGATAAAAAACAGTTAACACTTCCTGATTTTTAACAAGTAATTTTAATAAAGCGGTACAGTGATTTCATTCACATATGAGGATGGCAAACCAATCACATATTAAACGATCAATATACGATAAAACTTGTACAAAAAATTATAAAATTCAACTAAATGTACAAATACATTTTGTTTTATACATCTAAGAGTTGTACATGTGTTTTTGGGGTTCAGTCACTTGTGTAAAGTCAACATGAACCTGCATTTGCAACCCATTTTGCTTCTGAAATGTGAATAAAGTAGTTTGGTTCTTCATACCATGGTGGGTGTTTGATAGTAGAACCGAGTCATGTCTGAATGTAACTCTGTATTGGTTTGTGATCTGCTCTCCTCAAGAGCATCTCTACGTATCCTAACGCTGCTTTTTGTAAATATATACTTATTTGCTTATACTGGTGTAATCGTTATGCAACAGCTATTTACACTAAGTGTAACAAGTTAGACCGTATTTACACTGAGAGCAAATAGTGATAGATGCTGTTTGCACAAAGTGTAAATAGAAGTAACATGCTATTTGTGCTAAAGGTGAAATACCTAAGCAATAGTGAAAACAGCCTTTGCCAACAAGTTTGGTCATTTGCACTCATTATAAATAGACACTGCCAAAATTCAGCATTAAATTATTGCATTTACGTTTGGGGAGATATTAGGGAAAAAATAGCATGTCAGATGAAATTTTCTTCAGAGTAAAGTGCAGATTGCACACAATTACACCAGGAATGCGTATTCACAGACTAAATAGGGCAAATTTAGAGTTGATGTTGACAGTAACGATAGCAGGTCTTGAGGATCAAATGTTCTGTACAGTTAACAAACATCATGCTTCTGCTGGAAGGTTAGTTCTCCATTTATTGCTCCTTATTTTAGTATCTGTGCATGGCTTTACACATGCAGTAATGTTAGCGCGGCTCTTCTCTGGTCTTAAATTGAGTTGTCTGTTTCACCCGACAGCTTCCTCTCGATTATTTCTCTCAGACCTGTTCTGAAGTGTAGGTTTGCCCCCACGATGATGTAGCCCTGTGAAATCAAAGATGGAGAATCACAGCTGAACATATCGAAATGTCTGTATCTTAAACTTATGATGTTAAAGGTTTCACCAGCCGCTTACATTGTGATACTCGACCACCTCTTCGATGAAGTCTATCCCGTCCGGTAGAGGGATCTGCACACCTCGCTTAATGTAATCTTACATGAAAACACATGACCAAGCATTTAGATGCATTATATTTTCTGATTCACATAATTTAGGTGAATATGTTTTCTCAAAAAAAAAATAATGGAATTTTTTTTTTTGAAAGAAATTGTTTATTCAAAAAGAAAAGTATTAAATCTGACATTAAAAACATGTATTATGTATAAAGATTTTTTATTTCAAACAAATGCTGTTCTGAAAATAGTTTAATTAAAATTATGAAGCAGGAGCATTAAAAAAAATCAGCATATTAGAATGATTTCTGAAGATCATGTGACACTGAAGACTGGAGTAATGATGCTGAAAATACAGCTTTGATCACAGGAATAAATTACAGCTTATAATATAGTCCCATAGAAAACACTTGTTTTAAATTGTAATAATATTTCATAATTTTACTGTTTTTTACTTTTTCTTTTAATAAGAAAATGCAGCCATGGTGAGCATGAGAGACTTCTTTCAAAAACATTAAATACCAGCCCCAAATATCTGAACAGTGGTATACGTGTCATTTAATATATAATATATTGTTTCACTTACTGTTAATGAGAGGCACCACTGATATCTGCAGCATCGTTTTCAGCGGACCTTGCAATGGAATAAGCTGAAGGAAAAATATTTATTACATTGACTATCTGCTCTTGATCAGTCTTGCATTGAATATATTTGTGTGGAAACGCAAACTTACAGCCAAAGACTCGAGAGCAGATTGATTGGAGAAAATTTTGAACCTGAAAACAGATTCTCAGTTCAAAATCAATATTAGTCAAATGTCAAAAACAGTTCAGTGTTTGCACGTCATATTCACCTTCTCAGATCTAAATGAATGGCCAAGTGCTTGCCCTTCATCGATACTTTTGCGTTGAACTTGCCTTCCTACAAACAAGGTGAAATTTAGTGCATTTCTAGCATTCTTTCATTCTGAAACGATATGTGTATAATTCTCACCATGGTCATGCTGCTGAGCTGGACTGCTGGTTTTCCTGGAGGAAGAACCAACACTTTGACGTTACAGTTGACAGCCACACTGGCACCAGAGGTCTTGATAGTGGAGCGAGGAGGAGATGTGACCTCTAACTCCAGCGACAGAGGATGCTCCATGAGAGCCGGGTTCTGATAGAGAATAGATGGTTGCCGGGGTTGCTATGTGACTGCTGTACTTACACTGAACAAAATTATAAACGCAATACTTTTGTTTTTGCCCCCATTTTTCATGAGCTGAACTCAAAGATCTAAGACTTTTTCTATGTACACAGAAGGCCTATTTCTCTCAAATATTGTTCACAAATCTGTCTAAATCGGTGTTAGTGAGCACTTCTCCTTTGCCGAGGTAATCCATCCACCTCACAGGTGTGGCATATCAAGATGCTGATTAGACAGCATGATTATTGCACAGGTGTGCCTTAGGCTCCGTGTATATACATCTTAGTTTTGCTCACCAGCATCATGATTGTCCCCAAGTAGGTGGTCCTGAGAAGCATCTCTAAGTCCTTGGGCATCTGAAATGAGTCGAGCAATAGTTGTTTTTGTCTTATTTTTGTATCATGCTCTTGAAATGTATTAGACGGCGTCTTACTCGTTCGTTTGCTATCTGCATTTGGAACAGTCCGCCTTTGAAGTAAGAGAAGAGGCCGCTGTCAAAGAAGTACTCGGAGAGAGAGAGATAGATCATACGATCATACTCTCTCACTACCGGATTCACAGCATAGTTCACGAGTGTCTCGTTCTCATTCTTCAGGTCGTAAAACATGCCCTGTGTAGATGAGAGAGCGAGAGAAATACAAAAAAATAAATAAGTCACACTGACTCATAAAAAAACATATATATATATATATATATATATATATATATGTGTGTGTAGAATATATGCTACAGTATATGGTGTAAACAGCACTATGTTTTTCAAATTAAAAAATGTATTGTAATGTTTTGGACAAGTTAAGATTTACATTATTTAATTTATAGATTTATATTAAAACTTTTTCCAGTTTTACTATTACCATATTAGTCATATATTTTGGCTATTTTTTGTAGATTTTGAAATGTATAATGGTGAGTGTTTGTTTTAGATTAATGTATTCTATTAATGTAATCTATTAATCAAAACCAAGTATTAATGTATTTTGAAAATTATCATTATAATTCGATGTTGTTTTTTGCACATGTACTATGGTAACACCATGTTTTTTTTTCAATGACAATATGGCACTGATATATAATATATTTAAAAATGGCAAATAAGATTGGTTTAAGATTTTTGTAATATTTTTGAAAGAAGTCTCTTATTCTCAACAAAGCTGCCTATAAATACAGTAAAAACACTAGTACTGTTAAATATTTATACTAATTTAAAATAACTGTTTTCTATTTTAATATATTGTAAGATGTAATTTATTCCAGTGATCAAAGCTGAATTTTCAGCATCATTTCTCCAGTCTTCAGAGTCACATGATTCTTCATAAATCATTCTAATATGCTGCTTTGCTGCTCAAGAAACATTTCTGATTTTTATCACTATAAAAAAGTTGTGCTGCTTCATATTTTTGAAGCTTGCATATAAAGTTCAGTAACTAGTCATCTATCACTCACCCTAAAATCCATATCAAGGCTAGTTTCTGTCACCACGGGGTCATGTAGCAGTGAGTAATCGATGCCCACGTAACTGTCCACCTCCGTGCGCACTGAAAAAAACATTCCCGTAAACACACGAGTCTGCCAGATCAATATATCACAACAGTTTTACAATGATCAGCATTGTTCTCTAACCTGGGATTGTTTCCAGTAGCTGGTTAATCAGAACTAGTGCAGCATGATTCAAGGCAGGACAAATCTGACAGAGACATATATGCAAAAGTTGATTCAAATCTCTTACAATGTCATTAAAGTTGTGAGCACCAGTACAAGCATCAGCTAATCCTGACTAGAAAACAAGCAAACAAACCTGTTTATTTAAGACGAAGCGCATTCCTGTAGTCAGGAACGTTCCGATAAAGTCATAAACCCTCCTGTGGGAATATTTAGAGACACATAAGAATATGCCATGTAACAGACAAACATGCAAAATGCTGAGCAAACAATGTATTTCATTCATAAAGAAGCTGTACAGTTAATCAAATCATGTCATGTGCAATAAACATGCTCAACATTGAATATAGAGTGGTGTACCCGAGGGTCCCGCTAAATCTGGCCCTCATCTTGGTGATGAATGCATCACAGGTGACGTTGGAGATCTTGAGACGTCCGTCCTTGTCTTTGATGAGATGGAGGACTGTGAAGATGTTGACACCTTCAGCGGAGGCGTTGATGGCTCCCTCATCATAACTGATGGAGAGAAAGGGGGCACCTCATCAAGGATGCATTTATTTGATGAGAAATACAGTAAATATTGTGAAATATTATCATGGTTTAAAGTAACTGTTGCCTATTGCAATACATGTTAACATGTAATTAATCTGTGATCAAAGCTGAATTTTCAGCATCATTACTCCAGTCTTCAGTGTCACATGATCTTCAGAAATCAGTCTAATATGCTGATCTGCTGCTCAACTGATTATTATCAGTTGAAAACCGTTGTGCTGATGTATTTTTGTGGAAACTGTGATATTTGTTTATATTAAGGATCCTTTGATTTATAGAAAATTCATAAGAACAGTACTTATTTGAAACTGAAATCTTTTGTAACATTTAAAATGTCACTTTTGACCAATTGAATGCGTCCTTGCTGAATAGAAGACTCCTTTCTTTCAGTTGCTTGTGACCTCAAATCATAAACGTCTTTTGCTTGCTTTCTGCAGATGTGTTCTTCAGACTCACAAGAGCCAGTAAAGGATGCGTCTCTGGAAGTTGAGGGTGATGGAGGAGTTCTGCACCTCGAACAGCAGCCCCACATCAGGCTGGAAGCGCAGGTCAGACGTCAGGTTCAGCTCCGTGATCTTCACACTAAACAAACATCAGTGCAGAATTAGAGCCGGCGGGTATGGAAGCCTGTTTCCGCCAAAAAAATAAATAAATAAAAAATTGTGACTTTATCTCACAATTCTGATTTTTTTTTCTCAGAATTGTGTGATATAAACTCGCAATTCTGAGAAATAAAGTCAGAATTGCGTGATATAAACTCGCAATTACGTGACATAAAGTCGCAATTCTGAGAAATAAAGTCAGAACTGCGAGATATAAACTCACAATTCTGATTCTTTTTCTCAGAATTGTGTGATATAAACTCGCAATTGCAAGTTTAAAAAAATCATAATTGTGAGCTATAAACTCACAATTCTGAGAAATAAAGTCAGAATTGCGTGATATAAACTCGCAATTGCGTGTTATAAGAATTGCGAGGGGAAAAAGTCAGAATTGCGAGATATAAACTCACAATTCTGATTCTTTTTCTCAGAATTGCGTGATATAAACTCACAATTGCGAGTTATAAAGTCAGAATTGCGAGATATAAACTCACAATTCTGATTCTTTTTCTCAGAATTGTGTGATATAAACTCGCAATTGCAAGTTTAAAAAAATCATAATTGTGAGCTATAAACTCACAATTCTGAGAAATAAAGTCAGAATTGCGTGATATAAACTCGCAATTGCGTGTTATAAGAATTGCGAGGGGAAAAAGTCAGAATTGCGAGATATAAACTCGCAATTGTGCAAAAAAAAAAGTCAGAATTGCGAGTTTTTATCTCACAATTGTGACATTATATCTCGCAATTCTGTGAAAAAAAGTCAGAATTGTGAGATAAAAAGTCGCAATATCCTTTTTTAATTTTTTTATTCAGTGGCGGAAACGGGCTTCCATAGGCGGGAGGTTTTATGAAGCTCATAGGTTTATGACTCATAGGTTCGTTCAGCCCTTGTGGTTGTCATTCTAGTCCATACTTAGTAGGCCTTTTTAATGCCACTGACACCTAAAGGGCACCATCACCCCCTTCTGAATTACGAATGGGACAAATGGGACAAAATTGGGCATTTAACAGGATTGTACAAGGAAATTTGATTTGGAATGTCAAAAAGAAGAATTTACTGAATTTCAATTCCAAAAAATAAAAAAATCAGTACAGCATCCTGGTATATCTATCTATCTATCTATCTATCTATCTATCTATCTATCTATCTATCTATCTATCTATCTATCTATCTATCTATCTATCTGTCTATCTGTCTGTCTGTCTGTCTGTCTGTCTGTCTATCTATCAAGTCTACTTCCTTACATTAATTCGAATTGCAATTCTGCATCCTCTTTGCTACCTCAGTTCAAAATCAGGAACTGAATTGGAATTTAAATGGCATTCTTTATTCTTTTCTGAATGGTGCTCAACCCTGACGCTTACTGTGCGCGTGAATGACGACATGAGGGCGCTGTGTGCAACATGACTATACAGTATATGACGGTGGAAATCCAGTAGATAAAGGAAGGTCACACATACTCTTTGATGGTGTACTGGAAACGGCCCTCTTTACCACGCATCTCTGGCATGGTGATGTTACTCAACTCTTCTTCCACGAACTTCTTTGTCTCGGCCTTCACTGTAAAGACGTCAAGCAGAGGCCAGTCTGAGACTTTTATAGACTCCTAAAGGATAGTTGCATTTTAAGTCTGAATGTTGGGCTTATTGTCAGATATCTTACGCATCTCCAGTCCTCTGTCGGTGATGCGGATCTTGCATCCAGGCGGTTCTGCTAAAGTCATTGTGATTAATGAAAGAAGAAAGATGACAGAGACTTTCAGCAGTCCCATGATTCCTCAGCAGACCTGAAAATCAACAATTTAGGTGCTTCATTTAATTTAAGTATGCAAGAGACATGTTGAGATAAGGCTAAGGTCAACCAAACTGTCAAATTATGTTTCAAAGTCGTGAATAAAACAAAGATTACTAAAGTATGTTTTACAAGAAAATACTATTTTAGTTTTTCAACTGTAGTAATGTTTTTGTAGAAATAATTTGTGAAATGTACTATTAATTTCTGAGTGAAATGTATTTCAAAGTAAATTCTACACCATTTTTTTTTCAGTCCAGGATCAAAAAGGTTAAAAAATAATGAAAATAATAATGAAAAAGTTTATTTATATTCCCAATTTCCATGTCTTTTTTATTCAATACTTACACACATAATCAGTGAATAAGAAGAAATAGAAGTCAAGTTTAAAATAATTTGACATCACAAGTTTATATAATGGACTAAAATGGAGTAAAGATAATAAATTAATAAAGTAAAAGAGTAATTAAAATAATACAAAATAAATTGAAATAATATATTTTTTTTAAATATTAAATAAAAAAATAATGTAAGTCAATTCAAATCTAATACTAGCGCACCAAAAACCCTTCCTCGTGCATTAGTTTTAAAGATCAGATCAGAGTTACGCTTTCTGTCCACTGATGGTGCAGCTTTTCTCTCCTGCACCAAAGAGCTTCTCCAGAGCGGCAGCTGAATATATAGAGACAGCAAGCAAATAAGAGAATGATCTTGCCTTTCAACCGTATAGAAGAAAATGCCCAGTGAAAGAAGTCCAAGTGTGTCGTCTCTCGTCTCTGTAGCAGTGTGTGTGAAGGGTCTGTGTCTGCGTGTGTGTGTGTTTATAGTGCAGAGGAGGAGAGACTGCGTGCCTCGTCTGAATGAGAGAGAGAGAGAGAGAGAGAGAGAGAGAGAGAGACTCTATCCTTACAGCCTCCCCAATGAGAACATTATTATGTGGTTTCTAGGGTGTTGCTGTTGAGAGTTTTTAGGCAGTGTTCTGGGCTGTTGCAATGCTGTTCTGGTGTTTTTCGTTCATATACTGTTCAAATGGTTTGGGATGAGTTATATTTTGAGTTTTGTTTAAATCACTAAACCTATGTATGATGAACAGTAAAAGTGTAACATAGCAAGCAATATCCAGTACTGTAAAAAAAAAAAATAATAATAAAGTTTTGCTTACACTGGGATGCAGCATTTTAATTGTTTATGTAAATGCACTTTTAAATAATAATTAGTAAACAATAAATGCATTAAAATTTAATTTGTAATAAATAAATGGTGATTGTACAATTAATTTTAAATAATTGATCATGAATACATTTAATTTAAAAGAAATAATTTAAATTAATAAATTATAATTTTGCACTAATTTAAAATAATTTTAAATAAATAAATAATAATTTTACATCTATTTAAAAGACAAAATATATTTAAATCACTTAAATGATAAATTAATTTAATTAATTAATTAATTTTTAATTAATTAAATTTTTATTTTAAATAAATATATTATAATACTGTATAATTATTCATAATAATTAATGTATTATCAATGTATATTAATTATATTCTGTTTACTATTTAATATAATAACTATTCAGATTAATTCAATTATATTAAATACAAGAACATGTGAACATTTAATTACTACTCCGTGTAATATTGTAGAGACTCAGTGGCCAACAGCTTAAATGAGGACACTCTCTTGGAGGTCGTGTGTATGTGTGTGTGAATCTGAATGCGCGTCTCTTTAAATTGCCCTGTGTGTGAATACGTGCGCATGGATGGCAGCACTCTGAAGATGTATTTGTGTGTTCACACCAGAATTACCTTGCCATTTGTGTGTGTGTGTGCATGATATATAACGCCATTCTGAGTGTGTTTGTGTGTACCCTTAACACTCTGCATATGAAAACAGTGAGAGGATTAATATCTTCAGACACACGTCTCTCCTGCAGACACACATCTACACACTATGGCACACTCTCATCTGTTGTGTGTGTGTGTGTGTGTGTGTGTGTGTGTGTGTGAGAGAGAGATGCTGGAGGCAGCTGTCTTTAGTCCCCCAGATATAACCAACAGGAACAAACGGGATCAAAACAAACCATCCCGCAAATGGGCTTTATAAGGTCATTGACCCCAGGGTCCGGCTGATTTACCTCGCTTCAGAGAAGACAGTCTCAGGCAGGCGGAAAGATTTCACAAATGCTTCATTTATTTTGTATTAAACCCTGTGGGCTAAGCGTCAAGAGGTAATTACTCCTCTGAGACAATGTCTTTCAGCAAACGCATTGTCCGTATGCAATAATAGGTGACCTTTGACACAAAATGATGCTGAATGAAAGCTATATGTCTTTACATTTCAGGAAAGACGAACATGTTCTTTGTGAAACAGAAGTGTTTTTGCAATAAATCTAGTTTTTTGGGGAACAAGAAATGGCCATGACATGAGAATCGGTGCATGTTAGTGGAAATCGCTTACATTTGGAATGTTCCTCACAAGTGTTTTCAGCCGTAAAGTGATGTTTGCTTTGAGAAGGCACTGAGGTTACTACAGTTCACAAACACAAGGTTGCTTCTTTAGGTCAGTACCCCAAACATAAGAACTAAAACAATGTTACACAAGCAAAATCAACACCAAATTTACATTCAAAATATGTTTTGTTGACATTGGGACAGCACAGAAACTGCCTGGTTATGTAAATGTCCTTTTAAATTATACTTTTAAATAATTCAAAACAAATACATATTTTAAATGAATAAATGATCATTTTAATTACATTTTAAATCATTTCAAATATATAAATAATATTATAGTACTATATAATTATTAATAATAATTCATGTAACATTGATGCATTTTAACTACAAAACAGTTTTGCTGACAAAGTAATACTGCACAGCAACTATTTAAATTTACTTTTAAATTATACTTATATATTATAAATGAAATTATATAGTGTATATAATTTTACTTTAATAGTATATATACTTTTAAATTTTATATATATATATATATATATATATATATATAATTTTAAATGAATTATTTTAATGAATAATGAATTTTTTTTAATTACATTTTAAGTAATTAAAAATAAATAAATACATTTAATAAATAAACAATATTTTAATTACATTTTAAAGCATTAATTATTTAATTTTTAAATCATTGATGACATTGTTAATGATTTAGAATAAATAAATAATATTATAATACTATATAATTAATAATTCAATAGCAAACTCAGAACATTTCAGATATTTCTGTGTATTTGGGTCAAAGGGCAAAACAACATGATGTAAAATGTGCCGCAGCTATTTAAAAAACTAGTGTTGATCCATAATTTAAACAGTAAAATCCTCCTTGTGTAGCATTATTTAAAAAAACTAATATTAAGGCAATTGATATTTTACTTCTTTGACATGCAGAATTTCTAAATAGGAACCACTTCATGAAGGACACTATAAATCCTATGAGCCAATAACGTAAAAAGCTTCTCTATCCAGGATGCCGGTGATGTCCGACTGCCAAATTAACAGTGCAATGAGCGCAGTTGTCCAAATTAGCTTTATAGAAACAAAAACCTACCTCCATTTGTGCTGGAGGCACTCGTTCCCCTTTGAGTGATGCCACAAAATGAAACCATAAACTTTGTACACATTTTGTGCAAGCATTACAGCTTATTCCCAAACTTCCCTCCCCAAATAGTGCCTTTCACAATAATCTAATACTTACAGCGGTGTGGAAATGCAGGCTGGGTAACTTTAGTGTTTCTCAGATATTAACTCTTAGAAGAAGCAGATATTTGCTTACCATCTGAAATGCACCAGTTTGAATCCTCGCTGTACTCCTTCCTCTTTTAGTCTGGGTTCACTATGTTCCCACTTTATAGGCAGCCAGAATTGATAAGGGCAGGTTGGGAAAGGGTGTTCCTCTTCACCTCATGTCAAACGACTTTGTGACAACAATGCTGGCATTAATTCATAATCATGATGATGTGCAAAGAAAACATTTTCCAAAGATTAACATTGTTGCATCTGACTTCTGTTTCATTGTCTACAAACTGAATAGTTGCAGCATTTCACATTATAATGGAACGATGGCTGCAGGCTGCATCAAACAGATTCCAGCCATCTGCCCTTTCATTTTTTGGAGGCTAAACCTTAAATTAGTTCATGACTTCTTAGAAGCCCATGTTGCAAGGTTTCATAGAGTCACATAATGCAAGAAATGGGTTCGACTTCAAACCACAGAGGACCAAGGCGAAGCTCATTTTGGAGAATCAAGATGTTATTTCAAGCTTTTGGCCACCAATTATGGGGTGAGCAGCACATCAAACTTGCTTTTTTAAGTAAGACTTCAACCTGTTTGAAAAGAGTGGGCGAGGAAACGCGTCACATGCTCTTTGTTCCAGATGGATGAGTAGCACAAGTTTAGACTCAACTCTGGCAGAGAACATTTGATCTGGTTTTCCTCCCACCAAAGACCAGAAATCACTCAGAAGTCTTTCTGTAGAACATCAGTCCTGATGAACGGCTTGACGTGCACTGTAAAAACAACTCTGTAGTTTTTACAAAATCATTTTGGCAGCTGTGGTTGCCAGAATAATTTTGTAAAAGATACAGAAAAGCTGTAAACACATTTAAAGTATAATACTGTAATTTACAAACAAGAACATTTGAATGTAAACCAGTAAATTCAACAACACACACTGCTATTAAAATCTGTTTTGTACCTTTAACATACGGACAACCACGATTATAATGCGGGTGGTAAAAGAGAAAGCCACGTGAAGAATCAAAGCTCATCACAAGCAGAAGTATATACTAATAGAAGGAGCACAGAATTCATGCAAACACAAAACACCATCATGGTAACACATGATACTTAAATAATGCAATAAACTTTCATTAAACAACAGAAGATGTAACATAAAGCCCAAATGTACATAACTGATAAAAAAACGATTAACTATTAAAAAACATGAATATTTAAACAAAATACTTTCAAATGTGCAGTGTCAAGCAGAGAATTCTGGGAATATCATTTTACAGTTTTTGACTATAAATTGTCTGTTTTTCGGTTGTGCATGTGAATGTGTTTCACTGGGGTTGATCAGTGTTTTTCTTT